TCTCTCTCTCTCTCTCTCTCTCTCTCTCTCTCTCTCTCTCTCTCTCTCTCTGCTGTTTTCACCTCTTTTTCTCCCACAGAGCGAGCTTCTGAGGGCCTGGAGAAGGAGGGTATTCCTGTATCCCTGGAGGACCTCAGAACCTGTGTGTGTTTGTCCTTAATAAAACCAGCAAATCAAACAGAAAGAACGGACTTATCAAGGACTTTTAAAAAGATGTCAGGTGGAGTGGGGCTTTTATGCTTTAATAATGAAAAGAAAAAGAAATATCTAACAGTACAGACAAAGATCCCTCAAAGAGGGTTATTTGGTCAGAAAAGCCCCAAGTAGTTCTGCCTCACTGGGTGTGTCAGCGATTTTTATAACCTTCTGAGAAACGCATATTCATTTAAACAAACATTCATACTCCTCCTCTTCTCTTTGTTGTGTAACCTTTAACCCTGTGCTCCAGTTCAAAGCAGGTTTTAGCACCAGGCACAGCTTGGTCCTTTATTCAGTCTCTGCAGTTAGATCTGATGTTTAATTCTGTCCAAAATTTAGCAAAAATCCAACTTTCTCAACACAACTCATTGAGGGACGATTAGATTTTTACAAACGTTGAAATCAACAACAATTAACTTGCTTTCTGGTTAATTATTAATTTTTACAACTTTATCAGGAACAACAAACTTCAGGCTTAAGATGTTAAATAAACCATGGTTTTAGGCACTGTTCTTAAAGTTTTGGCAGGGTATGGACAAAGATTTAAAAAGTAGGTAAGAAAAGAGTGTTAAGGAAGGGGAACTAAGTTTTATCTTATCAATGTGAGGAGCCAGAAGGTTTTTGAGTCTCACTTGACCCACCCAGACACAGATGCGCTTTTAATCAAACAATTCAGCCTTTACCTTTGAAGACTTCAAATTCAGGTTAGGCATGGACGAGGTCTCACCCGGGTCAGCAAGAGGTCAGTTCAGAAACACTTAACTGTCCAAGCAGTCAGACTTCAAGGGGTTTGATTATCTCAGCATCTAGTGGTCCTTCAGCTCGTTCGAACGGAGAGTCACTGCCGACTGGTTTCTCAGCTCAAAAACAAAAACTTCTCACAGAAGTTTTGAAACAAAACTCCTTGGAGTCGTAAAGCTGTTAGTTTGGTTCACGACTGGTGGTGTTGTGAACCTGGGATAAGATCGACTCTTTGGCAAAATGAGCCGGGATCTCATCACCGAACGCTGGCTTCCCTGAGGAGGAAAAACCAGCTCCTTTTCATTTGGAACAAAAATGGTGTCTGACGGGAGAGAGGCGCGTCCGTTGTTAGTAACTACAAGAGAGAGTTCTAGCAGACATGACCTCGGARTTTGTTAGTAACAGATTGACTTAGAAAGGTTTAGTCTAAGAGATTTCAGTCGTCTAGTACACTGCCTTGGGTCTGTAAAAACAGCATCTGCAGAACAAGTTAGAACCTTGACAAGTGAACTAAATGAAGTATGAACTAAGCTTTAGTGAACCAACATAAAACTTAAGATATTTTGTTTAAACTTAAGCACAAATGACCATATATATTTCATAGTAAAACATAGTGAACTAGATAATAGTTATTGTTTTGGTTAAATTGAAAAATAAAACAGAAAAACATATCACCTTGTCAAATAATAGTTGATTAAAACATATTTGCATACACAAATAAAGAAACACTGGAAAAGCATCAATATGTGATGACCTGGGAGTGAGAATGGGTTTAGCAAACAGGTTTTACTTCTAAAAAGGTTTTTAGATGTTTGGAAAGAAAAAATTCAAAACAGATGTGTTCAATTTGAACTTTTGAAATGAAGGAAACATTTCTAAATGAATCAGTTGTGAAGGATCAGTGAATGATTTTAGATGGACAAACATAGAAAACCTCCAACAGATGCAGTGAACTGACCCCAGAACCTCCAATCTACAGTTTGGACTCTCCAGGAAACCACACAGATCATTCACTCCAGAGTCACACAAGTCATTAAGACTCAGGTCCAGTTCAGTCAGATGGGAGGGGTTGGACTTCAGAGCTGAGACCAGAGAGGAACAGCTGATCTCCGACAAACTGCAGTCCCACAACCTGAAATAAGAATAAAAGCTGTGAGCTGAAGGTTCAAACAGAAATCTGAACTAAATGATTGAAGTGGACAGAATTAGTTTTACTGGATGCCAGAGACACAAAAACACAATCAAATCAAGGCCTAGCATTCCTTGAAGAAATGCTAATCACCGCCACCTTTCATCCCAGAGAGTTAGCTGGATTTGGGCATGGTGTTTGTTTGATCTTAATCACGCCAGGTTCTTTTATGTTGTTAGTAAAATCCAGGAGGGGACATTTCACTTGCTGTCCTGTTGGGGTCTCAGAGTCCAAGAGATCCTCTGTTTGTGATGCTGGTTCTGCAGCTTGAAGTAACTCCTCTCTCTGTGGTTCAGGTTCAGTCTTCTAATCAGTAACTGGCACGCTGTGTTCCATCAATATCTCAGTTTCTCCAGCTGTCCTTCAGACGTCAGCTGTTGTGGTTTGTCCTGTTTGTTTCCAGCCAGAACTTTTTTCAGGAAATACACTCCTGATCAAAATCTTAAGACCAGTCAAAAAAGTGCAAGAATTTGCATTTTGCACTGTTGGATCTTAAGAAGGTTCTAAGTAGAGCTTCACAATGTTAAAAGAAGAAATCAGTGCAAGAGACAAGAACTTTTGAGCAGGGAATTTTCTGAAAACTGCACAGATAAAAGGCTGCAGACCCTTGGTCTATACCAGGGGTGGGCAGTCCTGGTCCTGGAGGGCCACAGCCCTACATGTTTTACATATTTCCCACCTCCAACACACCTGATTCAGTCACTGAATTACATCTTCCAAGTTCTGCTCTATGGAGGACCGACAC